GCTGAGGATCGAACCCAGTGCCTCATGCGTGCTACTGCTGAGCTACAGCCCCAGCCCGGAATATTTGTTGTTTTTTTTCTTAAATTTTTTATTTGTTTTAATTAGTGATACATGACAGTAGAATGCATTCATGCACTTTGATATATCACACATAGATGGGATATAATTTCTCATTTTTCTGAGTATACATGTTGCAGAATCATATTGGTCAGGTAGTCACATATACACATACAGTAATAATGTCTGTTTCATTCTACTACCTTTCCTATCCCCACATTCCCTCCTCTCCCCTCTCATCACTTCCCTCTACCTAATTTAAGGTAATGCTATTCTTCCCTAGTGCCCCCCATCTTATTGTGAATTAGCATCTGCATATTAGATAAAACATTCGGCCTTTGTTTTTTGGGGATTGGTTTATTTTTCTTAGCATGATATTCTCCAGCTCCAACCATTTACTGGCAAATTCCATAATTTTACTCTTCTTTAAACCTGAGTATTATTCCATTAGGTTTATATACCACGTTTTCTTTATCCATTTATCTATTTGAGGGACTCCTAGATTGATTTCATAGTCTAGCTATTGTGAATTGAGCTGCTATAAACATTGATGTGGCTGCATCACTATAGTATGCTGATTTTAAGTCCTTTGGGTATGAACCAAGGAGTGGTATAGCTGGGTCAAATGGTGGTTCCATTCCCAGTTTTCTGAGGAATCTCTATAATGATTGCCATTCTGACAGGAGTGAGATGAAATCATAGAGTAGTTTTGATTTGCATTTCTCTAATTGCTAGAGATGTTGAACACTTTTTCATATATCTGTTGATCAGTTGTATTTCTTCTTCTGTGAAGTGTCTGTTCAGTTCCTTAGCCCATTTATTGATTGAGTTATTTGGTTTTGTGTGTGTGTTAAGTTTTTTGAGTTCTTTATATTGGAATTGGTTGTAGTAAAGACTTTCTCCCAAACTGTAGGCTCTATCCTCACTTTTATTAATTGTTTCCTTTGCTGAGAAAAAGCTTTTTAATTTGAATCTATCCCATTTAACTCTTGATTTTACTTCTTGAGCTTTAGGAGTCTTATTAATGAAGTCAAATCCTAGGCCAATGTGGTAAAAATTTGGGCCGCTTTTTTCTTCTGTTAGGCACAGGGTCTCTGTTCTAGTGCCTAAATCTTTGGTCCACTTTGAGTTGATTTTTGTGCAGGGTGAGAGATAAAGGTTTAATTTCATTATGGTACATATGGATTTCCAGTTTTGCCAGCACCATTTATTGAATAGACTATCTTTTCTCCAGTGCATGTTTTTTGGCACTTTTGTCTAGTATGACATAACCATATTTTATGTGGGGTTGTCTCTGTGTCCTCCATTCTGTTCCATTGGTCTACATGTCTAATTACATGTCTATTTTGGTGCTAATACCATGCCATTTTTATTACTGTAGCTCTATAGTATAGTTTAAGGTCTGGTATTATGATGCTTCCTGCTTCATCTTTCTTGCTAAGAAGTGCTAAAAGCTATTCTGGGTCTCTTATTTTTCTAAATAAATTTCATGATTGCTTTTTCTAATTCTGTAAAGAATGTCATTTGGATTTTAATAGGAATTGCATTAAATCTGTATTTGGTAGTATGGCCATTTAGACTATATTAATTCTGCCTATCCAGGAGCATGGGAGATCTTTCCACCTTCTGGGTTTTTCTTCAATTTCTTTCTTTAGTGTTCTGTAGTTTTCACTGTGAATGGAGTAGTTTTCCTAATTTCTCTTTCAGTGGATTCTTCGCTGATGTATAGGAATGAGTTTGATTTATGGGTGTTGATTTTATATCCTGCTACTTTGCTGAATTTATTTATTAATTCTAGAAGTTTTCTGGTGGGATTTTTTAGATCTTATAGAATCATGTTTTCAGCAAATAGTGATAGTTTGAGTTCTTCTTTTACCTATTTGTATCCCTTTAATTTCTTTCTTCTGTCTAATTGCTCTGGCTAGAGTTTCAAGGATGATGTTGAATGGAAGTGGTGAAAGAGGACATCCTTGTCCTAGTTTTAAGTGGAAATGCTTTCAATTTTTCTCTATTTAGAATGATGCTGGTCTTGGGTTTAGCATATATAGCTTTTACAATGTTGAGGTATGTTCCTACCATCCCTAGTTTTTCTAGTGTTTTGAACATGTAGGTATGCTATATTTTGTCAGATGCTTTTTCTGCATCTATTGAGATGATGTTGTTTTGAGATCTTGTTTTAAATCTATTAATATGATGTATTACATTTATTGATTTCCGTATGTTGAATTAACCCTGCATCACTGGGATGAATCCCACTTGATCATGGTGCACTATCTTTTTAATGTTTTTGTATATGATTTGTCATTGAGAATTTTTGCATCTGTGTTCATCAGGGTTATTGGTCTAAAGTATACTTTCCTTGATGGGTCTTTGTCTGGTTTTGCTACCAGGGTGATATCAACCTCACAGAATGAGTTTGGAAGGGTTCCCTCCTTTTCTGTTTCATGAAGTACTTTGAAGCATATTGGTGTTAATTCTTCTTTGAAAGTCTTGTAGAATTCGGCTGAGAATCCATCTATTCCTGGGCTTTTCTTGGTTGGTAGGCTTTTAATGGCGTTTTCTATTTCATTACTTGAAATTGATCTACTTACATCAGAAATATTTGTTTTAATGATGCTATTTTGACAAGTTAACAGTCTCTAAAAAAATTATTGTATACTTTTTTTGCACTTAAATTAAGAACCAAAGTACAGACTAAGACCACTAATTTTATAGTCTGATCAAATCTTAGAACCAGAAATCTAAGACACACTGTACACTCTTCTATTCATTTTAAAGGAGGAAGCTGAGGCACAGGGAGAGAATCTCTAATACCAAAGCAGTTTTGGATGTTCTCTCTTCAACTGTCAGATTTTGTTTAGGGTGTTCTGAGGACCCAATACATGCCTAATTTTCCAGCCTATATTCAGAGCCAGTTGAGAAAGACAAAGGAGATGTGGCAAGTGAATACCAAAATACTCAATTTTATTATTGTTAATATACTGCAGTAGGAGTCAGGTATTTCAAAACTTCCTAAAACTATACCCTAAAGAGAGAGTCTTCTCATTCGAGGAAAAATTTTTTAAACTCATGGCTATATTTTCATGAGGTTCATTGTATATTTATTAAGACAATAATGTTTATAGAAAACAATCATTGTCCAGTAAAATTTTAGGTTTTTTTTTTTTAATCATGAGAAGGAATGTTTAAAACAATGTCTAAAAATGTTTATTCCTTGATAAAGCATGTATTTTCTGAAAATCAAAAATGGAGTCTTTAGGCATGAAATACATTTTGTCCAGTTATAATTTTAGAAGACTTGTAAAGGCTTTGGGCTGCTTTTGTACCTCTACAATCTTGTTTACTATAGGAAAATATTAAGCTACTTCAAGATTTTTTTGTGTGTGCATCCTTCATTGAGGTGCTTTGTACTACCATGTTAGATTTTTATCTCCAGTGTAGAGCTTTATTTCATAACAAACGTAAACACATAATCCATTATTACAAATGTTTACGTATGCAAGAAGTGCCAAGTAGAATAGATGAAGTATGACAGAACACACAGGAGTGACCAGCCACCTGGGAGAATTAAGGGGATTTTTCAGAGTGGGTCACATTTGAGATCATCTTTAGGAATGAGTAGGTGGTCATCATGAAGGGAAGATGGTATTCAGGGCTGAAAGAATAACTTATATAAAATATGAAATTACATGGCACATATATTAGTGTCTTTATATTGTTTGGAACTGGGTGTGTTCTCAGTGTTAGAGCACGGACGAAGGATGCACTTGCCTAGCATGTGTGAGACACTGGGTTCAATTCTCAGCACTGCATAGAAATAAATGGATAAAATAAAAGTTCATCAACATCTAAAAACTTTTTTTTAAAAGACCTAGGTTTTATCTCTCAGCACCTCAAAAATAATTAAAAAAAAATTTAATTGTTTTAATTCAGAGAGGGCACTTTTTTCCATTTTTGCTATAATTAAACATTCATAACATAAAATTTACAATTTTAAGTGAATATCAGTGGCATTAAGTACATTCACATTGCTGCACAGTCATTGCCACTATTTTGTGAACTTTCTCATCACTCCAAACTGAAATTCTGTACCCATTAAATATTAATTCCCTATTCTCCTTTTTCCTCAGCCCCTGTTAACTTCTGTTGTACTTTCTATGAATTTGCCTCTCTAGGTACCTCTTAAAAGGAGGATCATACATGTTTGTCATAAAATAAATGATCATACAAATAATTATGCAAAATGAAATATTTCACTTATTTCACTTAGCATGTTTTCAAACTTTTTTCATGTCATAGCATGTGATACAATTGCATTTATTTGCATGACTGAGTAATGTTGTCTTATGTATACCACATTTTATTTATCCATTCATTTGTCTGTGGACATACCTGTTGGCTGGTATGAGTAATGCTGCTGTGAACACTGATGTGGAAGTATCTTCTTGAGATACTGCTTTTAATCATTATAGTTACATAACCTTGTAGAATTGCTAGATCATAAGGTAATTCTGTGTTTGCCTTTTGGAGGAATCACCAGGCAGTTTGAACCATGTCAGCTGCACCATTTTGCATTCCCACCAGCAACACATGTAGGGTGTCAAAGACTCCACATCCTTGCTAACATTGTAATTTAAAGTTTTGAAAAAAAATTTACTAAACCACATAGAAGTTCTGTAAGAACTATGGGAAATACGTTCATACAGTCATTACACTAAAAATGACCTTTAGATGGTCAGCATTAGAAAAAGTTTGTATGAGCCAGCATCAGAGAATATTGACCTTTCTCTTATTGTTTGTGTAGCAGAATGTGTTCATGGAAAAGCCTTGGAAATATGAAAATACTCTTATAAAGTCAAATTCTCAAGCATAAAATAAGTCGAGGTGGATTTGTAATCTGCATGTCTCTGCTCTTAACAAAACAGTTTTCTTTTTTCCTACAGCTCCCTGTACAGGCAGCACTTTCTTTTGCCATAGCAACATGTGCATCAATAATTCTTTAGTCTGTAATGGTGTTCAAAACTGTGCATACCCTTGGGATGAAAATCATTGTAAAGGTGAGTCCAAGGCAAAGGCCAACTGTTTTGAGAAAAGAGTGACTGTTGCCTTTCATTAAGGAAGACTTAAAATGTTCTTTTTGTACAATAGTGCGTAGTATAACTACTTGCAGAAATGGAGACTTTTTTATGGATAATAGACCTCTGGGATGTGGTAAAAGCAAAGAAAAACACTTATTTTCAACAAAAGCAGTTTTTTGTTTAGAGTATGTTTTTATTTTAAGTTGTTCAAAAGTTGTCATATTTCTTGCCCTTGTTTTATTTTCTTATTGTGGTTGAAATCTGTCATTTGTGTTCTAAAGATACCTAAATTAATTGTGAAAATAATTTAGAGGACAGCCTTTTATTCTTTTTTAAGTTATATGGAAACACTAAATAAAAACCAACTAATAGATTCAGGTTTACAATATAAGAGCAGACCCATTCGAAGAACTGCTTTTAATTTCATCAAATCTGCTTTGCTATATTTCCAACCTATATCCTCTGAAAGATAAATATGGCTTGTGATAACTGTTGAATGTTTGCCAGTTGATTGTCAACGCAGTGTGGCAGAAGTAAGATTTATCTACCTTTCATCCTCCCAAATGTTCAATAAATATCTATGAAAAGGTGATATAATGTGACATGGCTGTATTAAGTACTTGACGTGAAATATTTTCAGGTAATCATTCAAAAACAGTAGACCATGATAACATTTTGGTGGCTAGTTAGATCTTATTTGTTCTCTTTTCCTGGTGGTCATCAGTATAAATCTTGTTGATATGCTTAAACATAGCAGTTGGTCAAACCTACCATATAGCAGAAAGTTAAACTTGATAAAATAAGAATATTTATTTCGGCATTTCTATATTAATGCATCCAATTTGATTTGCAAGTTGTAAGCTTTTCTATACCTTTCAGCAAAGTAACCAAGTACTTTTTTTGTAATCTGTCTAGTCATATTGTGATTAGTTACTTTACCCAGAGATCATAACACTAGGATTGTTGTTTTTGCCCAGAGATCATAAGACTAGGATTGTTGTGTTTGTTTAAAAGCTTAATTTTCAATTGCATTGTCTGTGATATATTTGACCTATTTTCTGCTTTTCCTAAAAATCCTTTACCAGTTTGTTCCAGGACTTCTATTAATGAATTTTGAAAAGCTTAATGTTTCTCTATCTCTTTCTACAGAAAAGAAAAAAGCTGGACTATTTGAACAGATCACTAAAACTCATGGGACAATTATTGGCATTACATCAGGAATTGTCTTGGTTCTTCTCATTATTTCTATTTTAGTACAAGTGAAACAGCCCCGAAAAAAGGTCATGGCTTGTAAAACTGCTTTTAATAAAACTGGGTTCCAAGAAGTGTTTGATCCTCCTCATTATGAACTATTTTCACTAAGGGACAAAGAGATTTCTGCAGACCTGGCAGACTTGTCAGAAGAATTGGACAACTACCAGAAGATGCGGCGCTCCTCCACTGCCTCCCGGTGCATTCACGACCATCACTGTGGATCGCAAGCATCCAGTGTCAAACAAAGCAGGACCAACCTCAGTTCCATGGAACTTCCTTTCCGAAATGATTTTGCACAACCACAGCCAATGAAAACATTTAATAGCACCTTCAAAAAAAGTAGTTACACTTTCAAACAGGCACATGAGTGCCCTGAACAGGCCCTAGAAGACAGAGTAATGGAGGAGATTCCTTGTGAAATTTATGTCAGGGGGCGAGAAGATTCTGCACAAGCATCCATATCCATCGACTTTTAATCTTCTACTAAAGGTGATATTAATTATTAAGTATGTATGTATGCAACCTACAGAGCAGCCATTCTGATTTCAGTAACCAACTCTATTTTCCTGTCAAACTAGGAAGACCTTCATTTGCCATTTCCCTATCACATTGACATTTTTATCATCTCAGGCAGTCTCTATGTTAAGCCAAACAAAGGAACTTAATACATTTGGTAGGAAAAAAAAATAATCATCATATGTTGCTTGATGTCATATAAACAAAATCATCACCAGTTACATAGCAGGTGAAGAGGGGCATTGGTGGTGTTGGGCCAGGCTCAGGCTGCCTGTTAGTTTTAGCATCAGAAATACTGCTCTTGACTGATAAAGCTCTGCCAATATTTTGAACCCATATTTTGAACCCATAATAAACTTAAAAATAAGGTTTTTCTTTATATTCCTCTTATTTTTCTTTTCTATAATTTGTTTTATATGCCTATAGTTTTGCCATTACTGTATCCTAATAAGTGGTTAATACACCACTTACCTCAACACAGGCATTTGTTGTTAAACTTGTCAAAATACAGCTAATTTAGTTCTGTTTTTCTACACTAATTTTTACACTACTGCCTTTTAATTACTGGATTGTTAGTCCTTATTTTCTATGAGAAATAGATGATATAATTTATCGCCTTTAAATCATACCTTATCTCTGTTGTATTATACTAGTAAACTTCATGATCCTGAGATATATGCACCTTACCAGTTATGACTAAAAAGTTGAGAAAGACAAAAATGTCTAGCAAATCTTTGAAATCGCCTACATTTGGTCACATTCGGTGACAGCCCATTCATTCCAGTAGACAGTCATTTAATTCACTTGTGGGGAGATCTATAATTGTGTTTACTTACAGTGTTTCTCATCCCCAAAACTACATTTCCTATTATTTTTGTAAGAAGATTACTTCCTTTGTATTGGTTTATCTTTTGACATTTGGTAACCCAAGATTCTTCGAGAGTTAAAGGAAAATTCCTAAGAAACTGTGAAAGCCTTTTGATTGCTTCTTTCTTAGGACAGCACATTTTTCTAACTCTTGTCAAGAATAACAATTTCAACTTTTTTTTAAACTGCACTTTTGACTTTTTTTATGGTATATAAAACAATAATTTATAAACATGATATAATTCATTTGTTTTTTTAGACTTTTTTGATATTATTTGATACTGTACAAACTATTAAGTCAAGATGAAAGACCTACATGAAGATTTCTTTCAGTGTTCACATTAGCAGCTTTGTATACAAACATGCTTTGTTGGAACTGTACACCCATAATTTATTATAAAGACCTTGGCAGTGTGTACATAGCTTTCTCTTCCTTTTGTTGCTGTATTTAGTTTGTGATAAATCTTTCACTGTATGATATTTATTGCTCTAAATCCCTACACATCTTATTAAAATATGCATTGTTACATGATCATTCAATCATGTTATTTATGGCACTGATATTTTGGGTCTTAAGATATATGTGGAATGAAGTCCATTTATTGAATTGTAACTAATAGAGACATGTCATTTATAAGAGGTAAATTCTCGTTTTTTACATTTCTTGTAGTAAATTCTCAATGAAATGAGAAGTTGAGGTTTCACTGGTTTCATTCATTCATTCTTTTACATAGATATGTTCTTTCCAGATTAGTGAATGCTGTGACACAATACTGCCTCAGTGTTTCCTGTATCACATTTTTTTTATTTTTAAAAAAGTAGATTATATCCAGAAGATAAGATAACTTACACATAGTATATTCATGATTTAATTATTTTAAGTCATCATAATTTCCTCTCTTAAAAATACAACTTAGAAGACTTAATGAGGGGCTGGGGCTCAGCAGTAGCACACGTGCCTGGCATGTGTGGGGCACTGGGTTCGATTCTCAGCACCACATATAAATACATAAAATAAAGGTCTATCAACAACTAAAAAAAAAATAAAAAATAAAGACTTAATGACTTTCAATGAACTAATACCAGAGAAATTGGATAACTTGTTTCACGAGCTGAGTAGGCCTTTTGATTTTAGTAGGTAACTTAGACCAGCCAATATTTATTTGAACAATGTAGTAAATAAATTCTTAATACAACAACTGTGATCTTGTTAGGATGATGAGAGAGATTAGCATATTTTCTACATAAAATTTTATTCATTATACAATAGCTGGTAAATCCATCCTTAACCTCTAGATTAGAGTAGGAAATGCTGTTATTGATGGTCACTTGTAACTATTTTTTTTGTATTTTTTTAGTTGTAGATGGACATAATACCTATATATTTTATTTATTTATTTTTATATGGTGCTGAGGATCGAATCCAGTGCCTCATATGTGCAAGGCAAGCACTCTGCCACTGAGCCACAATACCAGCCCCTATGTTTTCATTTTTGGAATTTGTATCCTGTTTTGAAAGGACTTAAAGAGATCTACAAAATAGACAGCCTTTGAAGAAGACATTGAATGTTAAGTTGCTGAGACTGGCTCCAAACTTAGAGTCCTCCTGTCTCAGTCTCCCAAGTCACTGAAATTATAGGTATGCATCATCACACCCACCTGCCATTGAGTATTAAAACAGAATAGAAATACATGGTTTCACACAACTTAGCAAGTAAAGCTTGAACAGTAAATCTAATTCTAAATTTTCTGGCTGCTAAAATGGAAAAGGTTTTCTTTTTTTCAGTAGAAAGCACAAACTTGCCACCATAGGCTAGTTTCTGTAGGATCTGAGTATCTTTTAAAAGGACATTTCCTCAACATTTAAGAAAGATAAAAAGTGCAAGAATAGGTTGTAATGATAAATCTTAACTTTAATGTGATTAATAACATTGTTTTCTGTTTGCAGAGATAGAACTAAAGAACCAAGTGATCAATAGCTTAAACTGTATTATATGCCTTCATTGAACTATAAGCAAGCCTTGGATCTCATTTCTGAGTCAAACATTTTATCTATTAAGACGAGAGTGGAACTAATATTTTAGGCATCAATTTCAGAATAATGCTAATGCTTGCTACTCCCCCCCACCCCGTGTGTGTGTATGTGTTGGTGTGTGTGTGTGCAATTTTTACTCTTTGAGATCATTGGGAAAACTTTACAAATTATTTACTATAGTGAAAGCTATAGGTTTTAGTAATAAAAGACACAAAATTTTGGCATCTTATGGAAGTTATTTCAGCCCTTCATAGTACTCCAGTGTTAAACACATCTTCTAAAAGAACACAAAATAGATGGAGGAAATTTTTTCAATTCAGGAACACTACTCAAGTATACCTATGTGATATTGTCATTATCTTGCATCCCAAATTTAACACAAGAAATCAATCCCCACATGCCCACAAATTGGAAGAAACCTATTCATCCCAACCTCTCAAGTATATAGGAATAAAACAGTGTTTTCTGGGAGGAAAATAATCTAGAGGTTTAACAAAAAGCAAAAGATTTTCACATTTCACATGACAAAGACATGAAAAGTCTCCTTTAACTTTGACTTAACCAATTTCAATGTCAGAATCTTTATCATGTTTCATATAATTATTGGGCATTAAAAGAACTTCATAAGGCCTGGGGCTGTAGCACTTGCCTTGCAGGTGTGAGGCACTGGGTTCGATGCTTAGCACCACATAAAAATAAACAAAGGCATTGTGTCCATCTAAAACTACAAAGAATTTTTTAAAAAGAACTTCATAAATGTCTGCCACTAAATATTTTTATAGTTATTGTTTGGTGAGAAAGATGCTTTCTTATTTCAGGAGTGTATCAACTGATGTAACAGAATGGAGAAAGCCTGGTTGTAATTTAGGAATAATTCTCAAGGGGATTATGCTTTCATTGCAAAATAAATATGTCTGCAGTATTGCTCGTTACTTTATTACAAATACTAAAAACAAGATGCCTTGAATTGTACCAATTAGATCCAGAAGGAATTTGGGGTTTTAGTGTTTTTAAAGATCTAAGAAAGATTATCTGATCCAGATTCGTTAATATAAAACTGAAGCCCAAAGAAGTGGAATGAGTACCCACATCTCCCAACCCTATCCAGTGCTCTTTTCTTGTGCCTTCCTATCCCTGTTTTTGCTGGCTGGAAGTTTTAAAAGTCTAGCAGTTCTAAACAGCAGCCCAAGTATTCCATGTATAGCTTGTCAATCATTCTGATTTAAAATGTAATTTTTTTAAGACTCATTTTCCCTGTTTTTATTTATGTAACAGTGTTATTCTACGGGTTTGTTACCATGATCCCTTGACACCTGCAAACTCTGCAAGCAATTACTGTGACTTCTCAATGAACAATTGTTAACATGGGCTTGATCAGACAGGAAGAGCTTCAGTGTGATTGCTTTTATGATTTTTCAAAATCCAAAGAAAGCAATGTATATTGTAGAAATTAAACATTTTGTGTGCTATATCACTTGAGTTTTGGAGAATGATTTGAGTCTGAGCCACTATAAATGACAAATTGACCTTGGATTTTTTTCTAACTTTCCTGCAAAATTAATTATCTGTGTTTTATATGCATGTATTAATAATTTGCTCTCCTTTACTCACTTTTTCATACACTTTATATGTTTCTGCAATTGGTTTAATGATTACAAAAGCCCAAGAAGATAATGCTAGGGTGCATGTTTAGTTTATACACTTAATCTCCAACTTAGCACTTTATAGTAAGGAATTTTAACCCTTGAACTGAAATAAAAACTTGTGTTTTGATTTCCTTGTTTGCTTTTGTTTCTAAAGTCTCTAGAAGTGGCAGAGAATGTAGGCCACTTCAGGCAGTAGAATTTGTACTTCTAGGGCAAAGTTAGCATTTCCTATCTAATAGCTTCCCAAGTTAAATAATCATAGTTGTGACGTTTTAAAAAGAAACCTTGGTCTATCACTTAGAAACCATTTTATGCTTTCAAATTAATCTTCAAGAGAAGATGAACTTTAAAATTTTCAGCTGCTGCCAGGACCCACTCTGCTACATCTAGTCACTGAGGTGGCAATGAGAACTTGCAGAGTGGGTGTTAAGAACCAAGCTGTCCTCTTGAGGTGAGCAATGCATTGGTCACAGCCATCACTTTGTAAAGATGAATGAGTAGGCCTCAAGACCTTACACAGAGAGGAAAGCAAAGGAAGGTTCAAACTCCTGACTTTTACAATCATCAGGTCTAGATCAAGGAGCAAAGTAAGAAGAAAGAAAAAATAGTGCCACTGTCTTTACAAGTAGTTGAAGAGCAGTTTTACTTTGTGCATTATTTAGGATCAAGAAATTGGTTGTATTTAAAAGAGCTCTCATCTTTAAAGCTTTGTCATACTCTAAAACATCTGATGCCTTTGGACTTCTGAGCCAATAAATAAATATTTTGTTGAAAAGTTTGGAGTAGCTGCTGATTACTAGATGGAATTTTCATCAGAAATCTAGGTATTGAACCAAGATGGGATTTTTTTGTTTGTTTTTGGTTTTGGTTTGGTACTGGGAATTGAACCCAGGGGTACTTAACCACCGAGCTACATCCCCAGCACTTGTTATTGGTTTTCAGACAGGGTCTTGCTAAGTTGCTGAGGCCAGATTTGATCTGTGATCTTCCTGCCTCAGCCTCCCAAGTCGCTGGGATTACAGAGATGCACTACCATACCTGGGATAAGCCATTGTTTTTAAATTGTTTTATTCTTCCAACAATAACATTGTCCTGTTGTATTCAGAAGTTCCTACAAACCCTTCCAAACTCTATAAAAGGTAGTATCACCCTGATACCTAAGCCAGACAAAGACATATCAAGGAAAGAAAACTTCATATCAGTATCACTGATGAACAAAGACACAAAAATTCTCAATAAAATTCTGGCAAATTGAATAAAAAAATATTAAAAAGATAGTGTGCCATAATCAAGTAGGGTTCATCCCAGGGATGCAAGGTTAGTTCAACATTTGGAAATCAATAATGTAATTCATCATGTCAATATATTAAAGATAAAAATTATATGATCATGTCAATAGATGCAGAAAAACATTTGACAAAATACAACACCCTTTCTTGTTCAGAACACTAGAAAAACTAGGGATAGTAGGAACATACCTCAAACATTATGAAAGCTATCTATGCTAAGCCCAAGGCCAATATCATTCTAAATGAAGAAAAATTGGAAGCATTCCCTCTAAGAACTGGAATAAGACAGGGATGCCCTCTGTCACCACTTTGATTCAACATAGTCCTTGAAACTCTAGCCAGAGAAACTAGACAAAAGAAATTAAAGGGATATGAATAAGAAAAGAAGAACTCAAACTATCACTATTTGCCAGTGACATGATTCTAAGAGAATCCAAAAAACTCCACCAGAAAGCTTCTAGAATTAGTAAATGAATTCAGCAAAGGAGCAGGACATAAAGTCAACACCCATAAATCAAATGTATTTCTACATCAGTAATGAACCCTCAGAGAAATCCAGAAAACTACCCCATTCACAATAGCCTCAAAAAAAAAAATACTTGGGAATCAATCTAACAAAAGATGTGAAAGACCTCTACAATGAAAACTACAGAATACTAAAGAAAGAAATTGAAGAAGACCTCAGAAGATGGAAAGATCTCCCATGCTCTTGGATAGGCAGAATTAATATGGTGAAAGTGGACATACTACCAAAACTTACATAGATTTAATGCAATTCCTATCCAATGCAATTCCCAATGACATTCTTCATAGAACTAGAAAAAGTAATCATGAAATTCATTTGGAAAAATAAGAGATCCAGTATAGCTAAAGCAATCCTTAGCAAGAAGAGTGAAGCAGGTGGCATCACAATACCAGACCTTAAACTATACTACAGAGCAATAGTAACAAAAATAGAGGTATTGGTACCAAAATAGACAAAATAGAAGACACAGAAAACCACGTAAATATGGTTATCTCATACTAGACAAAAGTGCCAAAAATATACACTGGAGAAAAAATAGCCTCTTCAACAAATGGTGCTGGGAAAACTGGAAACCCTTATATATAGCAGAATGAAAGTGAACCTCTATCTCTCACCCTGCACAAATATCAAAGTGGATCAAAGACAGACACTAGAACAGAGACTCTGCACCTAATAGAAGAAAAAATAGGCCCAAATCTTTATCATGTTGGCTTAGGACCTGACTTCCTGAACAAGACTCCTAAAGCACAAGAAGTAAAAATCAAGAATCAATAAGTGGGATGGATTCAAACTAAAAAGCTTCTTCTCAGCAAAGGAAACAATCAAGAACATCATGAGAAAACCCACAGAATGGGAAAAATCTTTACCAAATGCACTTCAGAGCACTATCTCCAGGATATATAAAGAACTCAAAAAACACCAAAAAAAAAAATAATAATAATAAGTAACCCTATCAATAAATGGGCTAAGGAACTGAACAGATGCTTTACAGAAGACGAAATACAGTCAATCAACAAACATGAAAAAATGTTCATCACCTCTAGCAATTAGAGAAATACAAATCAAAACTACTCTAGGATTTCATCTCACTCTAGTCAGAATGGCAATTATCAAGAATACAAGCAATAATAACTGTTGGCAAGGATGTGGGAAAAGGTACACTTATACATTGCTGGTGGCACTGCAAATTGGTGCAACCACTATGGAAAGCAATATGGAGATTCCTTAGAAAATTTGTAAAGGAACCACCATTTGATCCAACTATCTCACTCCTCAGTCTATACCCAAAGGTCTTAAAATAAGCATACTGCCATGACACAGCCACATCAATGTTCACAGCAGCTCCATTTACAATAGCTAAATTGTGGAACCAACCTAGATGCCCTTCAACAGATGAATGGATAAAGAAACTGTAATATATATATATATATATATATATATATATATACACACACACACATACATACACACAATATAATATTACTCAGCATTAAAAGAGAATAATATAGCATTTGCAGGTAAATGAATGGAGTTGGAGAATATCATACTAAGCAAAGTAAGCCACTCCCCAAAATAAAAGACGGTGTGTTCTCTCTGATAAGAGGATGCTGATCCATAATGGGGGTGGGGGGGGCGGGGAAATAATAGAGGAATTTTGATTGGGTAAAGGGGAGAGAGGGGTGGGGAGGGGGGATTGGGGTAGGAAAGATAGTGTAATGAGATGAACATCATTACCCTAGGTACATGTATGGCTGCACATATGGTGCAAGTCTGCATTGTGTACAACCAGAGAATGAAAAGTTGTGCTCCATTTGTGTACAATGAATTGAAATGCACTCTGCAGTCATTATATATATATAATGTAAAATAACTACCTTAATGTATTACATTTATAATTTTGAAAAGCAACTTTGAATGGCAGTAGTTGATGTTTATATATTTTATATATAGACTCCAGACTGCTTAGAGAGAGATTTCCAGCAATTTAGAACAAAATAAAATCAGGAACTTAGTGCAAACTCTGACTCAAGACAACACTTTATTCTGCATGCGTGCGCTGCTATGAGTCATTATAAACATTGTTCCATCTACAAACATTAATTGATTCCATTTTTGTGCCAGTCGTTGTGCTTAAAAGTACTAAAATACTAAGACCATGGTGATGGAACATATTCCAGACCTAAAAGAACCACAAAGCAACAGTCCAGTGGTGACATTGGACAAGGAAATCAATCACATTTTAATATGGTTATAAAGAAAGGAGCCAGATGCAATGGGAGTACAGAGAAAGAGCATACGACCTGACCTGAAAGGGGTCAGGGAGGGCTTCTCACAGGCTGGCACCTCAACTCTCTTGATGGCTCAGATGAAGTAAAGGCATCTGAAAAGACGAAATGGGTTTTGTAGTTGTTTGGTGGTTCTAAGTAACAGCAGCTCTGTGAACATGCTATAACCAGAATGCATGATAATACAAATTCAATTTGATGATTTCAAAAATCAAAAAGATGACTGTTGGTTATTTTAATAGTTTAATAATTTCTATATGTCCTCTAGTCTTCATTTTTACATAGAGAAAACCCTTCATATAAAATATTTAATAAATATTTTTTAAATCACCAGCACAAAAAAAATACCCACAAATCTTGAACCAAAAACAGTGATGGAAAGTAGGGGAGTTCTCTTTCCCCGTAAGTTATTGTATCACTTGAATATGTGTATGCCTTGGAAGACGATTTAACTCTGAAAAAGAGCACAAGGAATAACGAGCTTACCACAGCTGGCTCAGACACATAGCAACCTTAACTTCCTTAGTCATTAGCTTTTTTTTTTTTCCTGTTTTTACATTTCAGTTTGTTTTATTTTGTATGTGCTGGAGATCAAACCCAGGACTCTGCACATGCCAGACAGGTGCTCTAACACTGAGCTATATTCTCAGCCTGTCATTCGCCTTTTTGGTTTTTTGTTTGTTTGTCTTGGTACTGGGGATTGAATCCCTATGCTGTCAACCACTGAGTCACACCCTCAACCATTTTTAATATTTTATTTTGAGACAGAGTCTCACTAAGTTGCTTAAGGCCTTGCTGAATTGCTGAGGCTGGCTTTGAACTCACGATCCTCCTGCCTCAGCCTCCTGAGTTGCTGGGATTACAGTGTGCACCAACACACCTGGCTCATTAGCTTTTAATATAAATTAAAAAACAACACTTGTGGTAGGCAGCTCCTTAAATGGCTCCCAGTGATCCCTGCATGCTGGTGTTCATCACATAATCCCCTTGTCTTTGAATGTGAGCTGGACCTAGTTACCTATGGACCTAGTT